AGAGTATATGTTTTCCTTGAGTAGAAGAAAGAAGAAGATGAACAAAGGACTTTTTTCTAATTAGGCCTCTTCTTTCTTTTCCCAACCCACTTCATTACCATGAAATAAGATGACAGAAAAGCTCTTTACCTTGCCTCCTTTTTCACCAGGAAATTCTAAATGTCTTTCTCTAACCTCTACTCTCTTATTTATAAGCTCCACCTAGGGTTTTCCAATTTTCTTCTAGTTTTTGTTTTTAAATTTCCCTCAATTATGACTCATAATGTAACTTCCTATTTAAGCACCAAATCATAATCAAATTGTGATTTTTTATTTTAATTTTTTTAAATTGTTTTCTACTATTATGACTCCAAAATATGTTTCTAAATTAAGGAACCAATCAACTTAAGCGAGGGATTTTTATTTTTATTTTCTGATTTTTCTCTGTAATGTGTTAACCTCACATTTCCTAAATTAGAGACCAATCAGCATTTAATTTCATCTTTTGCTTTATTACTATTTATTGTGAGAAAAATATTCTTGTTTGATTTTTCTTTTTTGGGCAGATTTTCAAATTTGGTCTTCAAAACTGCATAACAATAGGCATCTACTAAGTCTTGTGCAAATAGGCACTCTTAAATGTGTGAACGTTCAGTTCTTTTGGCCTACTCAAAGGCCAATAACGGCTAACACCTCTCCAAAGCTCTGTAGCAACAGTAATGGTATGATATGACATGCATGTAGTGTCCCAGATAGTATAGTGTATGATTGAGCAAAATCTCGCAGTATGGTAATGATGATATTGATGATAAAATCCGAATGAGAATGATGATAATGACGATGGCCATGAAATGCTGAAGAAGGTGTCATGAATGATGATGATGATAATGATAATGAAGTCCTAATGTGGATGTTGTGAATGAGATGATGGTGGTAATTATAAGGATGATGATGAAAACAACAAAGAATAACCCAATTGGCGATGTCGCCCTTTTTTTAAACTTACTCTTAGCTAGAACCCCCTCACTCGCTGGGTCAAATAAAATGTCTCACATAGATGCCATAATCCTGAATCTTTGGGTTTGAGTCATTTTAACTTTTATTAGTTTGTCAAATCTTAAGAATTGAAGCTCTAATTGTAACCGTTAATAGTCTAAAATTATCCAAGTTGAGTAGGGGTAACGAGCATCATGCATATTAATGCATTTACTTATCTTATCGACGCGAAAATTTTTTTATTAAAAAGCTACTGAGAAATCATTTTGAGGCAATGTATGACATAATCGCAAATGGAGGCCACTTTTTTTAAAAAAAAATTCAAATTTATCCCAATATGTGAAGTGGCTTGCAATGCATATTAAAAAGGATAATCACATTATTGTTATATTAAACAGCACATATATATTTGAGCCGTTAGAAATTAATTTGCAAACATGATAAATATATATAATATTTTAATAAAAGAATAAAGATATGCAGATCAAATTTATATCAAATTTTAATAACTTAAATTTATTTATGTACATTATTTGTATAGTTGATATTAAAATAATATTTTGATAGGATGTTAAATCTCAACCGTTTAATATCAAAGTAATGAAGATTGATATATTAAATCTCAATCATTTGGAAAGTTAGATGGAAATATTTCTTGTGAGATTTTTAATGTTAGCCCCGAGATTTTCGCTCCTTAATTGATGAGTAAATCGCTTTTCCCATTAAATGTAAAATTAGGTATTCAAAAAAGTGATAGACTAGTGTCCCCAAAGTGAAAGGACACGGTCGTGAAGTCATTCCGCGTTTTATTTTTGTTTTTATTTGAGGGGGGACCAAAAGAGAAAAATGAAAAGAAAGTGTTGGTGTCCCTGGACCTCGAGGATCAGTTAGTGCGTGGGTACTGAGTTGATGAATTGACCGTCCGACCCTCATTTCAGTGAGGAGCGAGTCATTGGAGCTTCGTTCACGTCAGGGTTCGAAATTCTTAGGTGCACCCAGTGCACCACGTCATCTGTGCTCCAACAAATGAAAACATGACATCTTAGACCATCTTGATCTTATGGGTCACTTTTTATTTCAATTTTAATTATTTAAAAAATAATAAAAAATTCATAGGGTTTGGTAATCTCCATCGCGACCTCCTCCCTGTTCTCTCTTCCTCCCCTTGTCATCACTGGTCTCATCTTCTTCATTCTATTTGATTATGATTGAAGGAGTATCCATAGGGGTATTTCAGAGAAAATTGATAAATATAAGAAATGGGTCTTATATTTAAGAATAAAACTAACTCAATAATTAGGTCCTATATTTAGGACCGGAAGAGTACCTCGTAGATAGTGTTTAGTTTTTTACTCGATTTTTTAATCCATTTGGATGGTAAGAATGAAAAAGCGAAAATGACAAGTAAAGAGGTGTAAATATATGAGATTGTAATTTGAAAATCTCAGCTCCTCACCAGAGACTCACCAGCATCCCCCCGCTGGCCGCGACTAAGGAGACGGTTATCGGAATCTCATTTTGTATTAATAAGAGTTAATAGTGTTAATATTAAAGTATTAATATTATTTTATGAAATTAAAGAACTAAAATAAGATTTGATGAGAATTTAAAATTGCCAAATTTATACTTGGGAAAATTGGTTACAAAGAATCCTAAATATATAACATTTTAGTTTAAGTACCTAACACTTGAAAATAACAGAAAAAGAAGTGAGGCTTGAATTGATATTTTGAAAATTTTGTGAGATTACCCATATGCTTTTCTGTGACATAAATGATATTAATAGAATTAAAAATTACAAGTGCTCAACTGATAATAATAAGCATTAAATTGGAAATTACGAGTTCTATTATTTTTTTTGTCCTGCATTATTTTGGTTAGTTAATCAACAAAGTTTTGAACTAGAAATGATAAGTGTTTAATTGGTAATGACAAGTATTAAACTAGAAATAACAAGTTTCATAATTTTTCTTATGTCATGGAAAGGCATATAGGTAATTTCAATATATTTTCAAAATGCCCGTTTAGACCTCACTTCTTTCCTATCATTTTAAAGTATATATTAGGTGCCTGAATTGAGATTTTACATTATTGGAAGTTCTTTATAAAGGATTTTTTTCTTCTTTATACTTTAGCCTTTTAAAAGTAAAAATTATAAGACCCTAAGAGAGTGGAATAATTTTGTGTTTTCAAAAACAAAAAAAAATATTTTTGATAATTTATTTTAGTTGATTGTTTTAAAAAAACAAAAAAAAGTAACATATTTCTAAAAACTAAAAAAGCAAAACAAAAATTTTTTTTTCATGTTTTCCTTTTTTTATTTTTTTTTTGAAAAATTGAAGAAATACTATTCTTTTTTCACATACTACGCACTACATATTACTACCTCCGGTCCTAATTATAAGAGCTAGTTGACTAATTTAAGGAGATTAAGAAAATAAATTAAGTTAGTTATTTGTAATAAATAAGTGTTGTCTTTCCTAAAATATCCTTGTTAATCAAGTTTATTGGTTAGAACTTTCATTATTAGAGGGACTATCTTGAGAAAAAAACATAAATATAGGAGATAAATTGGGTTCTTATAATTAGGACCAAAATAAAAATTAAACGGGGTTTTATATTAAGGATTGGAGGTAGTACTACCAAAGACAATTACCACCTGCTAAGTATGATTTTTTTTATGTTTTTTATAAATTTGATTTTTCAAAATTGCTATCCAAACAATTTTTTTGTTTGTTTCCAAAACTTGTTCTAGGAAACAATTTTATAAAATTGTTTTGAGAACCAAAAAAAGGCAGAACAAAACAAACAGGCCCTATGTTTTTAAATCTTGAAGACCCAATCTTTGCATGATATTTCTTAAGCAAAACAATAGGTTAATGTTTTGTAAAGCAAGACAGTGTTTGTTTACCGTCATTTGGTTATTTGATTTTACTTATGTTATTTGTTTTCTTTCTTTGTGCTTGTAGATTGTATTGCAGGTTTGAGTCTTTGTTTTGTTTGTGGCCTTGGCTATTAGTGTTCGTATTTTTGAAAAAAAAATTGATAAAGTTGACTTGTTTTAGCAAGAGAAAAAAAAAAAAGGAAAAAAAATAGTAAGTATTTCTTATATATTATAGAATATAAAGGAGCGCTTTGTGTAATATAATTTTTAATTTTAATAAAAAAATTTTCCGAAGGTTTTATACATTTTTAAAATAATTATTCCTTTCACATGTTGATAAAAGCATTTAAACACATGTTCATTAAAAAAAATTAACATAAAAGTTTAATTTTAATTCTTTATCATATTTAATACCTACTTCTTTAACGATATTTTAGACAAACGCATTTCTCAAAACAGTTATAAAAAAATATAACATATTTATTTTGTTGTTGTCTCAAACTTACTCAATTTTTTAATTAAACTTTAAAAACTAGAAGAGCTAGATAACTAATTGGCAAATATTAAAAAATTAATTCAATTAGTTATTTGCGATAAATAAATATTATCTTTATAAAATATCCTTATTAATGAAGTGCATTTAAATAACTCTTTGATAGTATAGCAGCTCGTTAATATATGTAATCATCATATTACTTGATTGAAAAAATAGATAAATATTAAAAACAAAATGGACTAGAATCTTATATTTAAAATCAAATTAAATCTTCAACTAAATAAAGTATTTTTATTTAGGAAAAATCATTTTGTAAGTATATATAATTTTTCTCAAATTTTCATTTGGTACCTTTGTACTTTTCTCTTCTAATTAAATACATTAATTTTGTTCTGGGAGCATAGCCAATTTATGATATTTTGTTTGCTGTTATAAAAACTTGTATTCCTGGAGTATTTTTTTACTTTTAAAACCTGTATTCAAGGAGTATATCTTGCTGGTATAAAAACTTCTTTTCATCTACCATAATTTTATTGTTGTTAGGATATTCACATTTGGGTTGCTGATTTCCCATCACTTGAAGCAATATATGTCAATGCAAACAATACTTGAGGTAATGATTGAAAAGAAATATAAAAAGAGACATTGTGGAAAAACCTATAACCTTTTATCCATTTCAAAACTACTATTTACAAAGATTGCATTACATATACATAATTCAGCTCTCAAATATTAAATGATACAATACTCACAAATTACATATCTTTTGCTCCATACAAGAAACTAAAATAAACATTGGACAGTTTTTTGGGCTATTTCTTCTGGATGCACCAACACTGCACACCTTGTTAGACACTTCTTCTGAAGCGTAGGAGTGCAGCTGGCAGAAGATGGCAATTTGTTTGTTTCACTGGATAGAGACCATCTACATCTGCAAATTAATTTCATCCTTGTCAACATACTTCTCTTTTTACAGGTTAGAGCAATTAATAGTAAACTTGAAAGCACATCTATAACAGCAACAATGTATAGCAATGTATATGTTAAACTGTGCAGTTTTTAGCAATGTCCAGGTGTCACCATTTTATAGCAGTGTTTGTTGTTAAACTTTAAGCAATGAAAATCCTTGGTTATGATTCTGATTTGACAAATCTGAGTCTACGTCCCTTGTCTAGTCCAAAACTGATTCTGAGGGACTTGCAACTCAAAAACATTAGGTTTAAAAACAAATTTTGTCAACTCATCACCGCTACACAACTTTTTTTTTTTTTCCACATACAAAACAAATATAATGACAAGAAAATAATACATCACCGGAGAACAAGGAGAAATATTAGCAAATAGGAATAAATCTTTTCCATCAAGCCATATTCTAATAAACTCGATGTCAATGTTTTATCAGCACAAAATTCTCCTTGTTTGCCCTCGGAGTTTCAACCTAGATGCTTGATAACCTTAGTTTCCTATTCCCAGTCAAGAAACAATTTTTTATGCCTCCTCCACTATCAACAAACCAAGTTCATAGCAATCACTTATCCATCCTAAGTTTGTTAATGTTGAGTTACGCTAGAGTTTGGAAACCCATATATTATAAAATGAAAGCTCAATGCCACAAATAAGCGTGAATGGATTGCATCACATGTTAACTTTATTGGTTTATTTTTCTGTTGCGAGATTTAGATGTCAAAGGATCAGAAGACAGAGGAAACGCCTATCAGCTTTGCAATCAATCTTTTTCCGAACGACAAAACTAACTATACCTCCTCCGTAAGGAGCATCTATAATAAGAACTACCATCTCCAATTTCAGTAATAAGCAGTGTTATTAATAAAACAAGACAAACAGAAGTCTGCAGGATCACGGTTGGACAGGTCAACTCACTGATTAAACATTACTTTTAGGTCCCATTTGTAGGAAGCATTGAGAATGAGAGGTGAGGATTATAATTGGGGTTGAAAAATATGTTAAAAGAGTATATAGAATAAAAGCTTGCTTGTTACGTGGGATTGGACATCCATATATAAGTAGGATTAAGGAATACCATCTCCCCCTATAGTATTGCCCAGTCCCACATATAAGGGATTGCCCCATTTAACAAGTGATCACTCTTTTAACACATTTTTTCAATCACAATCCTAAGCCTCACCCCTCGTTTTCAATGCCTTGTACCAAACGGAACCTAGATTCTTTCTAAAAGCTATGCATAAAACAAGTAAATCAGCACAGACCTCCTAATGAAGGTAATGGTCAGTAGCATTATAATCAGTAGGAATAGAGACTGTATGGGCAGAAATCTGCTATACCTGAGAGCTTTAATGGTATGATCAGCTTTCAAAGCTTTCAGAGGTCCCAGTATTCTGTTCCAAACAACATTGCTGGGCCTGCATAACGCGCCAGATCATACCGTACCACAAAGTCCATCCAGCACTGAGATTGTTCAGTATTTTTTGTTCCATTCTTGGCAAACAATTTCCCAACCCATTTCTTGAATCAAGTGAGGCATCCGTATTATATTGTCGTTTGAAACGAATATAAGAGCTTTATCTAGAAGTTCTTTTATTCCAATAGTACCAAAAATGCCATTGGCATCATTTAGGCTCATGATTTGATCTTTACGTTTTCGTCCAAGAAAGTAAGTGAGACCAAGAAATATCTGCCTTTGTACAACCTCTAATCCATCATAACTCATTTTCAACACATCTCGAATTCGAGGAGGGGCATGCTTCTCAAGTTTTCTCAATGTATTTTCCCATGCTTCTATGTCTCTGGAACAAAGACACAAACCCAGAACTTTCAAAGCTAGAGGAAGGCCCTTGGCATAAGCAACTAGTCTTTTTGAAAGTTCTTCATATCCCCTTTCAGGATGGCTCTTTTTGAAGGCATTTAAGCTGAAAAGCTTGAGGGATTCTTCAAAGTCCAATTCCTTGACCTCATACATCTCATGAAGTAGTCCTCCTGCAGCAGCTAGCTCTTGCTTCTTTTTGCTTGTTACAATGACTTTACTATCAGGTCCCCAACAAATTCCCTCTGTAACCAGATGCTTTATTTGTTCTCGAGTACTCACATCATCAAGCACCACAAAAACTCTTCTTTTACTAATAGGCATCTCTTGAACAGGAATGGATTTATCCTCCTGCAGTTTAGAAATAAGTTTGTCACTTAAATATTCCAGCCCATGCTCTTCCGATTCTTCTCTGACATTGTGTAAAAAGCAACGGCCTTCAAAGTGGGAAGAGAATTCGTCATATACAACTTGTGCAATGGCTGTTTTACCCATGCCACTCCTACCATAAATTCCAAGGATTTGAACTTCTTTTGATTCCATTTCCAAAAATGATCTAATACGCGCAACATGTTGATCAATTCCAACAAGGCCTTGTGATTCACTAGGACAAGGATGGATAACATTCAATCTTAACAAAACATCTTCGACAATTTTATCAATGAGCTTAGCGTCATCGCTACATCAAAGAAGGGGTAAGAAACGTATTAGAACAAGAAGATGGAATAAACTGACGGGCCAACAAGTGTTATAATTATATGCTTAATACGATTCAGTGGCTCCTAGCCCAAACCATATGGGGACTTAATAGTTAATAATTGAGGTAAAAATTCTCATCAATAAAATGATGCCACATTTTTAATCTCCATTCACGATATCACTGCAATCAGCATCGTTGCATTAGATCTTGATGCAACCTCCAGCAAAATTTTAACCCTTCAATAATTAGAACAGAACCACTCAAGGTTAATGTAATATCTACCTGTTCATGGAATGGAACTTTTAGGATTCCGTAGGAAATTGTTGCTATATCATTAAAAAAATAACCAGCAAAATATTCTGACCCAAAACATGCTTAGTTCCTCCGAAACAGAGACAAATGTTTTTTCAAGGTCCAAATTAGGTAGCCTCCAATACACACATGGATATATCAACTGTTAGAAATTAATGTTTAACAAACAATGCAGTTTTTCCTGGCAAAAACAAAAAAAAGGAACAATGTAGTTTTTGAAGGCTGACTTACTCGAATTTGTATGAAACATAGCCAAATATGTCAGCAGCATTCTTCAAGGCTGATCTCCAATTTCGCACCTTCAAGTCGTTTCCTTGAAACCTCGATTCATGTTTAGCAAATGCATTTTCATAAGTGCCTTTCTGATTTCGTACATGTGAGGGCCTTATCTTGGAGAAAACAGGTAAAACAATCTGTTTGTTCACATTCTTGCAGTCGATTATTTTTTCGAGCTCATCCAAGCACCATCTTGAAGAGGCATAGCGTTGTGAGAATACGACGATTGAAATACGCGATTCTTGAATTGCTGTCAGAAGCGAAGATGATATTTGTTCTCCTCCTTTATGTCCTTATCTACATAGGATTTATGTCCACCCGCTCTAGATTCCTTAGCAGATGGCACACAAAATTGCGTCTAGTATCCTTGCCTCTGAAATTGATGAAAACGTCGTGTTTTATTCGAGAATCACGGAAAGAAGAAGGAGAAAAATCACAAACCATAGTTAGAGGGGAAGAAATTCAAAACTGGAACGAGTGGTTCCTTATACAGATGGTACTCGCGGAAGTAACAGAAGAAAAGTAATAAATTGTTCCCAATATTTGAACCACCCCCCCCCCCCAACTCCCATTGCGAAAGGCTCTGCATTATAACTGCGTTGGAAGGAGGGATCAGGCGCAAGCCCTTATGGGGTTCAAATAATAATAAACTAAAAATTAAGGGTTTCAACTTGTAAAATACTCTTTATCTTTTAGAGGGAATAATTTTATTCAGGTTTTTTAAAAGGGAAAGATGCATGATATATATGTAATAATTCCTTTACTAGGGAGTTTTTCTCTCCACAATCCTTCTCTCTTCCCATTCTCTCGTTTTTTAAAAGGGAAGCCATAATGCTTTTTTTTCCTTTTCATTTTATCTGAGTGCGGATCAAAAGAAAGAAAAAGGAGAAATTCCAAAACAAGGTTCTTGGAATATAGAAAATTTCAGATTGGGTTTTGGAATTTCGAAAATGACAGAAATGGTCAGTGACTCAATTTGTCATTTGTAAAATCAAGAGGAATTGATAATTTTACCCTCATTTGTATTCATTCACTACAATGATTTAAGGAATCACTATAAAAGTTTAGGCGTTATCTAGATTCGTGTAGCAATAACTACTCATTTTTCATCATCAGGTGTCTGTTATTAACTACAACTAATTTTGTAATTACTAAAATAATATAAGCATTACCTAGATTCATGTAGAGAATAACTACTCACTTTTTCATAGTCAGGTACCTTATTATTAATTACAACTAATCTTGTAATCACTAGAACAGTGTAAGCGTTACCTAGATTTGTTCAGAGAATAACTACTCACTTTTACTTAGTCAGGAGTAAAATTGTCAATTTGTCTTAATTTTACAAATGACAGATTGAGTCACTGGCCCTTTCTGTCATTTTCAAAATTTCAGGACCCAATATAAAATTTTTTATATTTTAAGGACCTTTTTAAAATTTTTCCCAAGAAAAAGTGTTGGGCGGCTTGTTAAGTTGTTAGTGTAATGAGTACTCTCAATTTTTTAAATTAAATTGGTCGTCAATTTTTTTCTAGAAGGTAGACCATTGCGAAGACTTGAGTGAGAGAGTTCAAAAGAGAAATCTCGAGTGATCATGCCGCGCACCACGTAAGCAGCCCATGGGGAGCCGGTGACAAAACAGTGTTACGATAAAACCAAATCATAGTTTAAAGAATAGGTTTTAGGAAGAATAAATTTTGTAAAGAATAGATTTTGTAAAAAAGTGATTCTGAAACGTGAGAGTGTTTGGATAGTTATTATCAGAAACACTTTTTATATATACAAATTACTAAAAGAGACATAAGTTAATATGATATTACTAAAAGATAGATTTTATGATATATTTTAATTTGAAGGAATAAAATAGTTAATAATATATTTTTTATCAACATAATTAATAATGTATAAGATAATATAATTAATAAATAATTAATATGTGTATATGTATTTATAAGATATAAGATTAATATGTTTATAAAAAACTAATTTAGAAATGTTAAAGTCATATTATTATTCAGATCTATTCTGACAGGCACAATCATACTCTCCAATTTGAATAAGAAGTAGAATAGATTTACTTTTTCTGAAACCATGTTAAAATTTCAAAACTATAGTTTTGGCCCAAATCATAGTTTCAGCTTATGACATTAAAATTGATGCTATTTGGGTGTCCACCCAAATCATAGTTTCAGAAGTGACCCAAATAAGCCCAAGAAGTGCGTGTCTGGTGACCCGAAGGGAGTAGGGTACTTTTGGGAATTGGTAAGCGTGAAAAATGACTTGGGAGTTGGGACCCTTTGTTGGAAAGAATTAGTTTTTTTCTTTGGGCCAGAAGAAAGAGTGGGTCAGAATGAAAAATCTCATAGTGACAAGCACTAAAATAAAAAATGGGTTGATAAAAAATGTTATGTTTGGTTAGGTAAACACTGTTTAGAAAATTATGTAAATTTATCATGTTACTCTTAATAAAAGAATATAATATTATAAAATAAAAATATCTTTTTAGCTTTGTAGAATAATAATATTAGTAAAAAAATCAATAAGTCAAAAAAATAAATGAAAAACATATTATAATTTAAATAAATACAAATATTCAATATAAATATAAAAATAACTATAAATATTAAATGATTAAAAAATAATCAAATAAAAAATTAAATAAAATATTAGGTTAATATAATATTTGGTCTTTCAAGCTTACCTTCATTTTGGTTTTGACCCCTCAAATTTTAAACCATAATTTTTAGTCCCCGAAGGGGCAAAATGGTCCAAATTTTTATTAGATTATAGAGACCAATATTATAAGTGAAAAGAAAATTGAGGGGTCAAAACCTATAGTTTAAAATTTGAGAGACCAAAACCAAATTAAAAATAAATTTCAAGGACAAAAATTTGTATTACCCCTAAAATATAACAAAGAAGTTGGCACAAGGAATAAAATTAAATTTACAAGACGAACAAGGGAGGAAGTATAAACAAACAGTTTATAAATTTAAATGGAGTCAATTAAAATGTGAAACTTTAGATGACATATATTTGTTAATTTGAATTTAAACGGGCCAAATGATTTATCATTGGAAAATTCTTTACATTTGAATTTTAATGCAACAAGCCCCATTTAAAAGTTCGTTGTATTTTGAAATTTACTTTCAAGAAAATTTGAGGCAGGAAATTTAAATTTTCTTATATCAAATTTGAATCTACTCAAGAACATTTGAATTTGATGTAGCAAATTCAACTTCTTTTACATTAAATTCGAATGTACTCAGTTTTTCTTACAACTTAAAGTTTAACTATGGGTTTACGAATATAAATTAGAATTTGTTTTTATACAATACATTCTAAATTTTAGTGCAAAATTTAAATTTATTACGTCTCTGCTACACTCTGTTTTTGACGTGTTGAATAGAGTAATTTTTTATTAGATATAACTTTCTCAATTTAAATTGGACAAATGATGACCTATCTTTGAAAAGCTCTGAGTCTAATTTTTAATGCAACAAGGCTCATTCAAAAACACTTTGTACTTTTAAAGTTATGATCAAGACTATAAGCAAAGGTCAAAAACCTTTTTTCTCACAAGATTTGAGCCAGATTTGAAAATCATATCTATTGTATATGAAAACATTTTTATTGAGGTAGATGTTGTTGAAAACCCTATTGATTCTATATTTATACATGACAAATTTCATATCAAAAATATTTACATATAGGACATGAATGTTAGGCAAGTTCTAAATTCGATAAATGAGCTAAAAGGCTAGTGGGTCAAGCTTAGATGATATTTTTTTTTTGAGCTTTTAATGAATGAGACGTTTTGTTTGTCAAGAAGAGTGATGAGAGGTGATGAACATGAAGATAAAGAAAGAAAAGGAGATGGAAAGAAAGAAAGATGAGGAAGGAGGAAGAAGCAGTAGGTAACATATGTTTTGAGGAGTGGATGTATCTTTGGTAGTTGCCTACCTGCGCTCTGGAAAATGGGCTCCCACCGAAAAAGGTGGGAATTGATTTTCCTTTATAGAAGTAAAAATTGCCCCCGTCTGAAAATTGCTTCCCTGATGATCATCCAACTAAACGCACTAAGCCTCCAGAAAATTTTGATTTTCCTTGTCTAGAGCCAGATTTCTAGCATACCATCTACAAAGGAGCCTTAAAATTACCATTAATCCACTGAAGGCTTTTCCTACGTCACCACTCTTATCTCCTATTTGGATGGAGAAAACATCAGGAAGAAAAAAAAATGAATTTTCTCTTATTTGGATAGCAGAGAAAATGTGAAGAAAAAAATGTGGAAGAAAATAAGTTGGGCCCTATGTCTTTTTTTTCCTCCAAATTTTCTCTCCATATATAAACAGATTTAGGGAGGAAAACAAGATTTCTATGACTTCCTATCCTCTCATGCCTTTTTGAGTTCTTCCTCTCCATATTTATTTTTTTATTATATTTAAAAAAAATTATTCACTTTTTATTTACTTATCTTAAAACAATATTTTTATTAAATAATTTTCTTTTAAAATATAACAATATCAAAAGATATATAAACCAAATAACTTGATTTTAAATCATTTGATGATACTAATGTTGGTATAATTTTCTTATTGCAATATTTAATTTGATTTAATTTTAAATATGATATATTTTGACAAGGATATTTTAGTCATTTAAATAATTACTCATTTTTTTTTTTTTAATTTTCTCTCATCTATCCAAGCAAGAAGGATGATAACTTTTTTTTTTTCCAAATTTTTCTTTCTTTCTATTTTCTTTCCTCGCATATTTTGCCCTGAAGTTTTTTGTTTATATACTAAAGAGTTACCTAGAAGGTTTTGTTTAAAATTAGGAAGACTATAGAGACGGAAGAATTATAAATCCCACCTATATATCCTATGGGACTTGTTGCGCTTCCATATGTATATTCTTTTCCTTAATTTTTGGGGAGGGGGGGGGACCCTTTCTTATTCAGTGATTTATGATGATTTTTTTATGACTTGCAAATCCAATGGTATTTTTTGATAAAAGTAACCATTTAAAATGTATCTTTATTACTTTTCAAATTAACTTTTCGAGAAAATTACTCATAAATTTTATTATTTTATGCACACTTTTTTAAAATAAATAATTCTTATAAAAAGTAAAAAAATTTTAAAAAAAGAGAAAATCGAAAAAAAAAAACAGAGAAGATGAGATTGAGAGACGACATAAGTGAGACGCCTAGACATAGTGGGTCCCACAAAAAAATAAGGGCAACGGATATTTACGAGGACAGTATTTTCGTCCTGTTTAGTGAAGTTCTTGCGTATTTTCACACCAAAAATATGTTTATGTGCATGGTGTTCTTTTTAAAAAAGATAAATGGTATTTTTTCATATTCATCCTTTTTCTTTTATAAATTTTCCTTGAAGTCTGGATTTGTTGTTGCCTTCCCTTTTATTTGTCATATCGGCTTTTCTATATAAATGTATCTGTTGATTACAAATCTTTCCCTTTTCTTCTTTCTCAATATCTGCTGATAGGCTTTTCATCACTCATGTCACCAAATGTTGTATGGTCGATCCTACATTCACATTTTGTTGCTTTCATTTCTCTCATATGTACTTTCTTTTTTCTCAACAACATAAGCCACCAGCCAGGATATATCTCCTTTGTGGGATTTCTCTCTTTCATGTTCAGTTCAGGTTTTGATTTTATCACCAAGTTCCTGATCTTTTAGGTTGATACTAGTGTTAGCATGCTGCCAAATATTGTAGACTCCGCAAGTACATCAGTCGTAAAAATAAATATTGACAAATCAAAGTTCGATCCCATAAAAAACTTAACTGACCAGCGACTAGGCAATACAAAATCCTCTTTTCGTTTCAGTAAATCAAAATTGAATTCGAATTGAGTGAAAAGAAATTAAAACAAGACAAAACAAAACTTTATCAAATTAATTAAAACAAATATTAAAAAATACAACCTAGAATCACCAATCATTTGCTCGCTTCTTAAACTGTTTCCACTTAATTGATTAGCTTTAATGTTATTTTTGTTAATTTAAAATATAATTAGTTATAAGTGTCCGTGTGTCCACTTATAACCCTCTTAAAGTAGTAATATTATCTCTAACACAATTACCTAAGATACTAAATAATTTGGTTTTACTCATAAACAATTCTACGGGACAATTAGATATATTTCTATCCTAGTCACAAATTAGATCACAATTCAATACCATATTACTTAAATCTAAAAGCTTAATTAAAAATCCCTTTTGTTAAGAAAAATCTCAAATTCACAGTTAATGGCCAGTCATCAAATGGACAAATAAAAACAAGATTAATAAGTAACCAAAACTTAACATTAAGCATCCTCAATCAGTGAAAATAAAACTTAATCAATCAACATGTTTATAGTTCCTCTAGGTTGAAAAGGAAAATTAGTTACACATGACTTTAACCAATCTCAGTCCAGCAACAATAAACTCAAAATCAAAAATCATAATGGAATTCAAAAGCAAAGAAAAGAGAAACTGAAACAATGAAATAGATCTCTTCCTCAATGCGTCTCTCTCTCTCTCTCCTCAGCTATTCCATGAGCTCCCTCTGAAAAAGAAAGGGGGCAAAAAGGAGAATTACAGTGAAGTTTTAAAAAAAAAAAAAAAAACTACCAACAATCTCAATAATAAACTAGAAGTTTTGCAGTACATATATATAATTCAGCTCTCACACAATACCATACTCACAAATCACATATCTTTTGCTCCATAAAAGAAACTTAAATAAACATTGGACTGTTTTGGAGGCTATTTTTTCTGGATGCACCAGCACTGCAGACCTTGTTACATGCTTCTTTTGAAGCTTAGGAGTGCAGCTGACAATTTTTTTTTTTTTCCTTTTTGGGTTTGGAACGATAGCAATTGCATTGTTTCACCGGATAGAGACCATCTACATCTGCAGATTAATTTTCATCCTTGTCAACATACTTTTCATTTTTCAAGTTAGAGCAATTAATAGTAAACTTGAAAGTATATATATAACAGCAACAATATATAGCAATGCATATGTTAAACTGTGCAGCTTTTAGCAATGTCCAGAAGTCACCATTTTATAGCAGTGTTTGTTAAACTTTTAAGCAATGAAAATCCTTGGTTATTATTCTGATTTGACAAATCTGAGTCTACTTCTCTTGTCCAGCCCAAAACTGATTCTGAGGGACTTGCAACTCAAAAACATTGAGTTTGAAAACTAATTTTGTCAACTCATCACCGCTGCACTTCTGTTGCCCCCCCCCCCCCACCCCCACATACAAAACAAATATAATGACAAGAAAATACTACATCGATGGAGAACAAGGAGAAATATTAGCAAATAGGAATAAATGTTTTCCATCAAGTCATATTCTAATAAACTCAATGTCAATGTTTTATCAGCACAAAATTCTCCTTGAAACAATTTTTATGCTTCCTCCACTATCAACAAATCAAGTTTCATAGCATATACAATAAGATCTTAAATTAAAAAAAAAAACACAATCACTTATCCATCCTAAGTCGTTAATGTTGAGTTATGCTAGAGTGTGGAAACCCATATATTATAAAATGAAAGCTCAATGCCATAAGTAAGCGTGAACGGATTGCATCACATGATATTTTATTGATTTATTTTTCTGCTGTGAGATTTAAATGTCAAAGGATCAGAGGACAAAGAAAACACCTATCAGCTTTGCAATCAATCTTTTTCCAAACAACAAAATTAACTATACCTCCTCCGTAAGGATCATCTATAATAAGAACTACCATCTCCACTTTCAGTAACAAGCAGTGTTATTAAAAAAACAAGACAAACATTGAACTGAGAAGTCTGCAGGATCACGGCTGGACAGCTCAACTGACTGATTAAACATTACTTTTAGGTCCCAATTGTAGGAAACATTGACAATGAGAGGTAAGGATTGTGATTGGGATTGAAAAATATGTTAAAAGAGTATATAGAATAAGCTTGCTTGTTACATAGGATTGGACAAACCTACGTAGGTAGGATTGAGGAATACCATCTCCCCCTATGGTATTGCCTAATCCCAAATATATGAGATTGCCCCCTTTAACAAGCTATCTCTCATACTCAACTCTCTTTTCACTCTCTTAACATATTTTCTTAATCACAATCTCAATCCTTACCCTTTATTTTCAATGCTTCGTACCAAACGGGACCCAGATTCTTTCTAAAAGCTATGCATAAAACAAATAAATCAGCACATACCTCCCAATGAAGGTAATGGTCAGTAGCGTCATAATCAGTAGGAATAGAGACTGCATGGACAGAAATCTGCTATTCCTGAGAGCTTTAATGGTATGATCAGCTTTCAAAGATTTCAGAGGTCCTGGTATCCTGTTCCAAACGACATTGGTGGGCACGCCAGCTCATACCGTCCCACAAGGTCCATCCAGAATTTGTTCCATTCTTGGCAAATAATTTCCCAACCCGTTTCTCAAATCAAGTGAGGCATTTGCATTATATTGTCGTTTGAAACGAATATAAGAGCTTTATTTAGAAAGCATGAAATCAGATTTGAAAAATTTTCAAAACTGCAGGGTCTATAGCTGATACACTACTTATCACCTACCTTTGGCCACCCTTCAGTACCACCCCACCAAACATCAATAGCTGATACTCAAACACCATTCCTATCAATCCTCCGTGACCACCGGCCTATATTCCGTTCCAAACAAGACTGCAGGGTCTATACTGCGCACCAGATCGTACTGTAGCACAAGTTTCTGCCAGTGCCATCTTTGTTCAGTATTTTTGTTCCATTCTTTGCAAACTATTTCCCAACCCATTTCTTGAATCATGTCAGGCATTCGTATCATATTGTCATTTGAAACGGATATGAGACCTTTATTTAGAAGTCCTTTTATTCCACAATCACCAAAAATGCCATTGGCATAATGTAGGCTCATGACTTGATCTTCACGTTTTCGTTCAAAAAAGTAAGTGATGTCAAGAAATATCTGCCTTCGTCCGCCATCCAATCCATCATAACTTATTCTCAACACATCTCGAATTGGAGGAGAGGGATGCTTCTCAAGTTTTCTCAATGTATTTTCCCATGCTTCCATATCTTTAGAACAAAGATGCAAACCCAAAACTTTTAAAACTAGAGGAAGGCCCTTGGCATAAGCAACTAGTCTTTTTGAAAGTCCTTCATATTCCCTTTCAGGATGGCTCTTTTTGAAGGCATTTAAGCTGAAAAGCTTGAGGGATTCTTCAGAGTCCAATTCCTTGACCTCATGCATTTTATGAGGCAGTCCTCCTCTAGTATCTAGCGCTTGCTTGTCTTTGCTTGTTACAATAACTCTACTACCAGATCCCCAGCAAATTCCCTCTGTAACCAGATGCTTTAATTGTTCTAGAGTACCCACATCATCAAGCACCACAAAAACTTTTCTTTCACTGATAGGTTTTTCTTGAACAGGAATGGATTTTTCCCCCTGCAGTTCAGAAATAAGTTTGTTACTTAAATATTTCAGCCCATGCTTTTCTGATTCTTCTCTGACATTGTGTAAAAAGCAACAGCCTTCATAGTGGGAAGAGAATTCGTCATATGCAACTTGGGCAATGGTAGTTTTACCCATGCCACTCATGCCACAAATTCCAAGGATTTGAACTTCTTTTGACTCCATTTCCAAAAATGATCTAATACGTGCAACATGTTGATCAATCCCAACAAGGCCTTTTGATTCACTGGGACTAGGATGGATATCATTCAATCTTAACGAAACATCATGTTGATCAATTCCAACAATGCCCTCTGATTCATTAGGACTAGGATGGATATCATTCAATCTTAACGAAACATCATGTTGATCAGTTCCAACAAGGCCTTCTGATTCACTAGGACTAGGATGGATATCATTCACTCTTAACGAAACATCATGTTGATCAGTTCCAACAAGGCCTTCTGATTCACTAGGACTAGAATGGTTATCATTCAATCTTAACGAAACATCGTTGACGATTTTCTTGATGAGCTCAGAGTCATTACTACATCAAAGGAGGAAAAAAGAAGCATCAGAACAAGAAGATGGAATAAATTAACTGATCAACAAGTGTTATAATCATATGCTTAGTACAATTCAGTGACTCCTAATCCAAACCATTTGTGAACTTAAGGTAAAATGATGTCACATTTTTAACCTTCATTCATGATATCAATGGTACTGCAATCGGCACCGTTGCATTAAATTTTGATGTAACCTCCAGCAAATTTTCTACCCTTTTATGGACATAATAATCACTTAATCTGTATATCTCTACTCAAGGTAGGTGTAATAACTCCCCGTTGGAACTTTTAGGATTCAGAAGGAAACTGTTGCAGTATCATTAGAAAATAACCAGCTAAACATTCTGATGCAAAACATGCTTAGTTTCTACGAAACAAAGACAAATGTTTTTTCAAGGTCTAAATTAGGTAAGCCTCCTACACACACACACGGATACATCAACTATTAGAAATTAATGTTTAACAAAAAATGTAGTTTTCAAAAGCTGGCTTACTTGAAATCGGATGAAACATAGCCAGATATGTCAGCAGCATTCTTCAAGGCTGATCTCCAATTTCGCACCTTCAGGTCGTTTCCTTGATACTTCAATTCATGACGAGCAAATGCCTTTTGATAAGCGCCTTTCTGATGCCTTACATCTGAGGGCCTTATGTCGTAGAAAACGGGTAAAACAATCTGTTTGTTCACGTTCTTGCAGTCGATTATTTTTTCTAGCTCATCCAAGCACCAACTTGAAGAGGCATAGTGTTTTGAGAATACGACGATTGAAATACGCGATTCTTGAATTGCTCTCAGAAGCGAAGATGGTATATGTTCTCCTCTCTCTATGTCCTCATCTACAAAGGGTTTAATTTTCACCCGACGTAGTTCCTCTAGCAGGTGGCAGACAAAAATGCGTCTAGTGTCCTCGCCGCTGAAACTGATAAACACATCTTTTATTTGAGAATCATGGAAAGAAGAAGGAGAAGAATCGCAAACCATAGTTGGGGAGGAAGAAATTCAAAACTGGAAACAAAGGGTTTCTTCTCCAGAAACTACACTATACTGCAACAAAATTAAACGATCTGCAGAAGTAAACTGAAGAAAGTAAAATCATAAATAGTTCCCAAGATTTGAACCCCCACCACTACTAGAGACTGCAGGAAGGTTCCGTATTATAATCCATGTTTTTTATACTATTCGTTGACATGGAGTCAACTGGGACCGACCTGGCCTCTGGAATGTGGATATTACAAAAGCCATCATGCTTTCTTTGTCGTTTTATTTGAGCAGGACCAAAAGAAAAATAACTAGCGTTGGGCGGCTGTAAAGTTGTCCGTGTAACGGGGACTACCCAATTTTTCATATTAAATTGTCTCACCAAATTTTCTCTAAAAGCTAAAATGTTAGAGTTATGAAGACTTCCTTGAGAAAGTTTGAAGTAGAAATGTCAGGTGACCATAGAGTCCACCACGCAACCAGCCCATTTACAATGCTATATACGCGTCCTATGTTGCAGGGTCTGAAATTTATAAATTCAAAAAGTTTTTTGAGACTAATCTTTTAGAATTAAGTTTTTTTTTGGACTTACACTTTTTATATTGGTGCTCTTATTGGGTCCGTTTGGATCAATGATTAGGAAAGTAGCTTTTGAAAAAGTAAAGTTGGGTAAAAACTAAATTAGATAAATTAAATTATATTTGGATTGGAGTTCAAAAAAGTTTGTTTGCAAAAGTGAGATTGATAAAAGGTTGTTTGAATTATGATTGAATAAAAGTAAGTTTAGTTGTAAAATGACCAAAATAGGTATGAGTTTTAATAAATAATGAAACATGATTAAAAAAATAATTTCATATAATACAATGAAAGTAAAATAATTTAATATGAAGAAGTCAAATTTAATGAGTGGATTAAATTTTAAAACTTTAGAGAAATCATAAAAAATATTTTAAATATAAAGTGAAACATGAAAAAAATGAATTGAGATAATACAATAAATTTAAATTAATTTAATATGAAGAAGTGAAATTGATTGAGTGAATTAAATTTTAAAACTTTAGAGACATCATAAAAAATAATTTAAATATAAAGTGAAATATGAAAAATTAAAAGTATATTTCTAGGAGTTTATTTAAAAATAAAAGTATATTTCTAATTTATTTATTACTTTTAACTAATTTTAACTGATTTTTTGTTATTTACAAATTTGTTATTTGAGACTTATAATAAGAACCAAAAGAGATAATAAATTTCTTAACTTGATTCTAGCAATGCTTCCCATAATAACAATAATAAGAGTAGCATTTTTTTGTTGGCCGAAAAACATTGATGATCCTCAATAAATCCCACATTCGTTGCCTTCATTAGCATGTAATGGTAACAATGACCTTGATCCTTCCGACCTTAGCAATTAGCGTTCACCCACCGAAGACTATGTTTAAATATCTGTTGCTTTTCCACCACCGATGGTTTTTGTTTAAATGCCAGAGAGTTAACTTTTAACAAAAGGAGGTTTTGTTTGAAATTAAGGAGAATAATAAATATGGGAGAGTCATAAATCCCCTCAAAACAAGAATTCCCTTTCTTGTTCTGTGATTTGCGATGATCTTTTTTATTTACGACTTGCAAATTCAATAGTAAATACTTTCAACAAAAGTAACCGCTTGAAATATATTTTTATCACTCTCTACATTAAAGTTTTAAAAGATTGTTTTGGTAATATTTTTTTTTCAAAATAAATAATTCCTACAAAAAGTTTTTTTTAAAGAAAAGAAAAAGAAGACAAAACTAAAGGGTAAGAGGGAGAGGGGGGATGAGGGAGTTGAAATAGAGGAGAGAGATCAAAGAGCTGACACCAGGACAAAATGCACCTCACAAAAAGAAAAAGTGAGAGACATTTTTGAGGATTAATGGACATGGTATTGTCACCCTGTGTGGAAAAATTCACGTTTTTTTGCATTCCAAATTTGTTTGTGTACCGAGTCCCTTTTATTTATAAATTTTTATATGTGTAGTTGTTATTGAGCCATTTTTTGGGTTGTTAAAATACATATTTCAACTTGTAAACTTACTGTATACAAAAAAAAACTTGTAAACTTAACTATGAAAATTTTTTAATTTTATTTGTTTATAGCTTAGCTTGTTATTTTGAAAATTGAGAGTTGTAAATTTGTATACACATACAAGTTTGGAAAAATGACCACAAAATACTATATAAAAATAAAAAAGACAAAACATGCATCTAAATAAATAAAATGACCAAATGGGTATGGAGTACTAATCTGGAATTTGTACTTTTGGTATAAAGACTAAAATGTCCTGATTGTTTTTGAAAATTGAGGAATGTATTCGTGCAATGGAGAAAGGAAGAAACTAACTTCCTCATATGCTGATAAAAACATTTAAACACAAAAACTGAGGAATGTATTCGTGCAACGGAAAAATATAGATAATTTTTATTGATTTTTAAAATAATTATTTCTTTCATATGCTGATAAAAACATTTAAACATATTCATAAAAGAAAATTTAACACATATTTTAATTTTAATTCTTTATCATATTTGATACCTACTTATTTAATAATATTTTAGACAAACGCATTACCCAAAGCAGTTACATAAAAAGTATGACATATTCATTTGTTGTTTTCTCAAAAGTTACTCAATTTTTCAATTAAAATTTAAATATTTTTTTGGGAAAATCATTTTTGTAATTATCTATATTTTTCCTTAATTTTAGCTTGATTCACATGTATTCTTCTCTTTTAATTACATAGATTAATTTTGTTTTGCTAGCATAGTCAATTTTATAACTTTACTTTATCAGTACCGCTAGACATTGTACAAAAACTAACAGTGTCAACAAAACAAAATTAAAGTATTTTTCTATGGAGTTTTTTTTTTTTGGGTGCCTTTATAAGAACTCAAATTCATATATAATAATCTTCTTGTTTTTAGGATATTCGCATTTGGGGCGCTGAGTTCCCATCATTTGAAGCTACATATCTCAATGTAAACAATAATTACTGACTGGAAAAAAAGTAATGAGACGTTGTGCAAAAGCCATGACCTTTCATCCATTTCAATATTACTATTTACAAGTATGGCATTACTTATACATAATTCAGCTCTCACATATTCAGTGATACAATCCTCACAACTTACATATCTTTTGATTCATACAAGAAACTAAAACAAACATCGAACTCTTTTGGCGGCTATTTCTTCTGGATGCACCAAAACCGCACAGCTAGTTCCACACTTCTTTTGGAGCTTAGGAGTGCAGTTGACAACCTTTTTTTTTTGGGTGGAAAGATGGCAATTGCTTTGTTTCACAGGATAGAAACCATCTACACATGCAAATTAATATTTCCATCCTTGTCAACATACCTTTCTTTTTTCAAGTTAGAGCAATTAATAGTAAACTTGAAAGTATATCCACAACAGCAACAATATATAACAATGTATATGTTAAACTGTGCAGTTTTTAGCAATGTCCAGAAGTTGCCATATTATAACAGTGTTTATTAAACTTTCAGCAAGGAAAATCCTTGGTTATTATTCTGATTTGACAAATCTGAGTCTACTCATCGCCACTGATCCTGAGGGACCTGCAGCTCAAAAAACCTTAAGCTTGAAAACAAATTTTGTCAACTCATCGCCACTGAACTTTTTTTATGCAAAACAAATTTAATGACAAGAAAATAATACATCAATGGAGAACAAGTAGAAATATGAGCAAATAGGAATATGCCTTTTCCATCGAGTCATATTCTAATGAACTCAATGTTTTATCAGCACAAAATTCTCCTCGTTTGGCCTCAGAGTTACAACTTAGATGCTTTATAACCTTGGTTTCCTCTCCTCAGTCAAGAAACAACACACAGAAACACACACATAATCACTTACCCATCTAAAGTTTGTTAGAGTTATGCTAGAGTTTGGAAACCCATGTATTGACAACTCAATGCCATAAATGAGCGTAAATGGATTACATCATATGTCAATGTTATTGGTTTATTTTTTTCTGTTGTGAAATTTAGACGCCAAAGGATCAGAGGACAAAGACATCCAAGAACGTTTATCAGTTTTGCAGTCAATCTTTTTCAAAACAATAAAACAAACTGTGCCTTCTCCGTAAAAGGCAGCATCTATAATAAGAATTACTATCTCCAAATTCAGTAACATGCAGAGTTATCAAAAAATCAGACCAGACATTGAATTGAGAAGGCTGCAGGATCACGGTCGGACAGCTCCACTGACAGATTGAATATTACTTTTAGATTCTTTCTAAAAGCTATGCATAAAACAAACAATCAAGGTAATGATCAGTAGCTTCATAATCAGTAAGAATAAAGACTATATGGGTGGAGATCTGCTATACCTGAGAGTTTTAATGGTATGATCAGCTTTACAGGCGAAAGAGCTCGATCCATACTTGACTGGCTTGTAAACCTACATCCACAGTTTAACATTTTGAAGTTACCAAGAAGATCAGGCATCACATTGAAATCATCTTTCTCAGCCCATACCAAATCAAAATTCCAGAGAAAGCATGAAATCAGATTTGAAAAATTTTCAAAAAATCACAAGAAATACACTACTTATCACCTACCTTTAGCCACCCTTCAGCACCACCCCACCAAACATCAATAGCTGATGCTCAAACACCCTTCCCATCAATCCTCCGTGACCACCGGCCTATATTCCGTTCCAAACAAGACCACAGGGTCTCTACTGCGCACCTGATCGTACTGTAGCACAAGTTTCTCCCAGTGCCATCTTTGTTCAGTATTTTTGTTCCATTCTCTGCAAACTATTTCCCAACCCATTTCTTGAATCATGTCAGGCATTCGTATCATATTGTCATTTGAAACGGATATGAGACCTTTATTTAGAAGTCCTTTTATTCCACAATCACCAAAAATGCCATTGGCATAATGTAGGCTCATGACTTGATCTTTACGTTTTCGTTCAAAAAAGTAAGTAATGTCAAGAAATATCTGCCTTCGTCCGCCATCCAATCCGTCATAACTTATTCTCAACACATCTCGAATTGGAGGAGAGGGATGCCTCTCAAGTTTTCTCAATGTATTTTCCCATGCTTCTATATCTCTAGAACAAAGACGCAAACCCAAAACTTTTAAAACTAGAGGAAGGCCCTTGGCATAAGCAACTAGTCTTTTTGAAAGTTCTTCATATCCCCTCTCAGGATGGCTCTTTTTGAAGGCATTTAAGCTGAAAAGCTTGAGGGATTCTTCAAAGTCCAATTCCTTGACCTCAAGCATTTCATGAAGTAGTCCTCCTATAGTAGCTAGTGCTTGCTTGTATTTGCTTGTTACAATGACTCTACTACCAGGTCCCCAGCAAATTCCCTCTGTAACCAGATGCTTTAATTGTTCTAGAGTACCCACATCATCAAGCACCACAAAAACTTTTCTTTTACTAAGAGGTTTTTCTTGAACAGGAATGTATTTTTCCTCCTGCAGTTCAGAAATAAGTTTGTCACTTAAATATTTCAGCCCATGCTTTGCGGATTCTTCTCTGACATTGTGTAAAAAGCAACAGCCTTCATAGTGGGAAGAGAATTTGTCATATGCAACTTGGGCAATGGTTGTTTTACCTATGCCACTCATGCCACAAATTCCAAGGATTTTAATTTCTTTTGACTCCCTTTCCAAAAATGATCTAATAAGTGCAACATGTTGATCAATTCCAACAAGGCCTTTTTTTTTTTTTTTTCTTGGGGGGGGGAGAGAATCCAACAAGGCCTTTTGATTCACTAGGAGAAGGACGGATAACATTCAATCTTAACGAAACATCTTTGACGATTATATCGATGAGCTCGGAGTCATTACTACATCAAAGGAGGAAAAAATAAGTATCAGAACGAGAAGATGGAATAAATTGACTGATCAACTAGTGTTACAATTATATGCTTAATACAATTCAGTGACTCCTAATCCGAACCACTTGTGGACTTAATAGTTCATACTTAAGGTAAAATGATGTCACAAGGTAAAATGATGTCACATTTTTAATCTTCATTCATGATATCAATGGCACTGCAATCAGCGTTGTTGCATTAAATTTTCATGTAACCTCCCGCAAATTTTTTACCCTTTTATGGATAACCTGTTGGAACTTTTAGGATTCAGAAGGAAGCTGTTGCAATATCATTAGAAAATAACCAGCAAAACATTCTGATGCAAAACATGCTTAGTTTCTACGAAACAAAGACAAATGCTTTTTCAAGGTCTAAATTAGGTAAGCCTCCTATCCCCCCCGAAAAAAAAAAACACACGCGCACGCGGATATATCAACTGTTAGAAATTAACGTTTAACAAACAATGTAGTTTTCGAAAGCTGGCTTACCCGAAATGGGATGAAACATAGCCAGATAGGCCAGCAGCATTTTTCAAGGCTGATCTCCAATTTTGCACCTTCAAGTTGTTTCCTTGATACTTCAATTCATGACGAGCAAATGCCTTCTTAAAAGGGCCTTTTTGATGCCGTACACTTGAGGGATCTATGTCGTAGAAAACGGGTAAAACAATCTGTTTGTTCACATTCCTGCACTCCATTATTTTTTCAAGCTCATCCAAGCACCAAGTTGAAGAGGCATAGCTTTTTGAGAATATGACGATTGAAATTGGCAATTCTTCAATTGCTCCCAGAAGCGAAGAAGATATTTCTTCTCCTCTCTTTAGGTCCTCATCTACGTAGGGTTTGATTTTCCGCCGACGTAGTCCCTTTAGCAGATGGGGCATAAAACTGCGTCTAGTGTCCTTGCCGCGGAAACTGATAAACACATCGTATTTTTGTTTTTTGGCCTGAACATCGTCTTTTTATTTGAGAATCATGTAAAAAAGAAGGAGAAGAAGGAGAAGAAGAAGAAAGAGCCATAGTCTGGAAACAATGGGTTTCTTCTCCAGAAACTACACTATACCGCAACAAAATTAAACTATCTGCAGAAGTAAAAGAAAACAAAGTAAAGTCATAAATAGTTCCTAAGATTTGAACCCCCACCACCACCAGAGACTGCAGGAAGACAAAAAAGAAAAACTCAGACCACCAAATATTTTTAGATTGAGTCCAATTTTTTAGACTTATCCAACTTCGGCTGATAGATTTATCTCAGTCCAATTTGATACAGAGCGAGTCATACAGGACCATAAAAAGTGGTAAAACTATACCAAGTATTTTAATTTTTTTAAAATTTTAATGAAGATACTTGATAGTGGAGTTTTGTTTCCTTTTATTATTTTATCTGATTCAATTTATATTAGTTTGAACCGTAATAAATTTTACAATTAAAATAAGCAGATCCAAAAAATTAGGGGTTCCACTCCAAAAAAATTTTAAAAAATAGTTTAAAGGTACTGAATAATTGTATAGTATTTAGTCAGATTTATTTTTAAATTTTTATTAGTATGATGATGTTGCACATTATAAGTTCTTAGATCAATCTGAACGCACTATGCCGCTAAGACAATTCGGACCCGGCAACGACCGTGATTACAAAACCCTAGGAATTTTTTATTATTATTTTGAATAATCAAACTGGAAATAAAAATCTGGACTCATGGGATTAAAATGGCCTGAGATGTCATATTTTTATTTGTAGAAGCACAAATGACGTGGTGCACTAGGAATTTCTCTTTTTTCAAGAGGTGAAAGTTGATCAGTTGATGGGAAAAGTCGAGCTTTGATGTTTGATGTTTCTTATACTTCGTAGATGGTACTATTTAGTTTTTTACTCGACCTTCTAATCCGTTTGGACGGTGAGAATGAAGAAGCGAAAACGACAAGTAAAGAGGTGTAAATATATGAGCTTCTAATTTGAAAATCTCAACTCCTCATCAGAGACTCACCAACATCCCCCAGCTGGACGCGACTAAAGTGGTGGCTACCGGGATCTCATTTTGTATTAATAAGAGTTAATAGTGTTAATATTAAAGTACTAAAAATATCCTTTAGAAGGTTAAAGAACTAAAATGAAATTTGATGAAAATTTAAAATTGGCAAATTTAGGCCCTATTTGTTTTTATTCTTTGTTTTCTTGTTCTCAAAATGATTTTGTAAAATTGCTTCTTAGAACTATTTTTGAAAACAAAAAATTAAAAGAATTTATTTGGATAATAATTTTAAAAAATCATGTTTACAAGAAAAAATGATAAAAAATCACAATTGGTAAGCAATAGTTGTTGCTAGTATTGATAAGTAGTAGATAGTAAGTGAGAAGAGAAGAAGATTTTTCAAAATTTTTCAAATCAAAACATAAAAAACATAAAAACAAAAACAAGAAAACATGTAAAAGTTGTTTTGATTTTTCAGTTTTTAAAAACAAGTTACTGCTTTTTTTTGTTTTTTTAAACAATCAACTAAAAGCAAGTTACCAAACAAGTGTTTTTGTTTTTCTGTTTTTAAAAACAAAAAATTGTTTTTAAAACAAGAAACCAAACAAGTCCTTATACTTGGAAAAATTCCTTACAAAGGATCCTAAATATATGGAATTTTAGTTTAAGTACCTAACACTTGAAAATGACAGAAAAGGGAATGAAGGCTGAATTGACATTTTGAAAATATTGTGATATTACCCATTTGCCTTTGTATGACACCAATGACATTAATAGAATTGAAAATTACAAGTGCTCAACTATAATAATAAGTATTAAATTGGAAATTACAAGTTTTATTAAAAAAAATTTTGTCCTGCATTATTTTAGTTAGTTAATCAACAAAGTTTTGAACTAGAAATGATAAGTGTTTAATTGGTAATGACAAGTATTGAACTAGAAATAACAAGTTTCATAACTCTTCTTATATCATAGAAAGGCATATAGGTAATTTCAAAATATTTTCAAAATGCCAGTTTAGGCCTCTCTTCTTTCCTATTATTTTCAAGTGTTAGGTGCCTGAATTGAAATTTCACATTATTGGAAGTTCTTTATAAGGGATTTTTTTTCCTTTATACTTTAGCCTTTTAAAAGTAAAAATTATAAGAACCTATGAGACTGGAATAATTTTGTGTTCTCACAAACAGAAAAACAATTTTTTTTGATAATTTGTTTTAGTTGATTATTTTTTTTAAAAAAAAAAGAAAAAAACAGTAACATATTTCCAAAAAGTAAAAAACCAAAACAATTTTTTTCATGCTTTCTTGTTTTTTTTTTGTTTTGAAAAATTGAAGAAATATTATTCTCTTCTCACGTACTACCCACTACATATTACTACCGAAGACAATTACCACCTGCTAAGTGCGATTTTTTATTTTATTTTATTTAAATTTGATTTTTCAAAATTGCCATCCAAACAATTCTTTTGTTTGTTTTCAAATTTTGTTCTAAGAAACAATTTTATAAAATTGTTTTGAGAAAAAAAATGCAGAACAAAACAAACAGGCCCTATGTTTTTAAATCTTGAAGACCCAATCTTTGCTTGATATTTCTTAAACAAAAAAAATAGGTTAATGTTTTGCAAAGCAAGACGGTATTTGTTTACCGTCATGTTAGTTATTTGATTTTATTTCCCAGTTATGTTATTTGTTTTCTTTCTTTGTATTTGTAGATTGTATTGCACGTTTGAGTCTTTGTTTTGTTTCTGGCCTTGGCTATTAGTGTTTGTATTTTTTCAAAAAAATTGATAAAGTTGACTTGTTTTAGCAAGAGAAAAAAAACAGAAACGGAATAAAAACAATAAGTATTTCTTATACATTATAGAATATAAAGGAGCGCTTTGTGTGATATAATTTTTAATTTTGATAAATGCTTTTATAGATTTTTTTTTGCCGAAGGTTTTATACATTTTTAAAATAATTATTTCTTTCACATGTTGATAAAAACATTTAAACACATGTTCATTAAAAAAAAATTTAATGCAAAAGTTTAATTTTAATTCTTTATCATATTTAATACCTACTTTAACAATAGTTTAGACAAGCGCATTACTCAAAACAGTTATTAAAAAAAACATTTATTTTGTTGTTGTCTCAAAATTACTCAATTTTTCAATTAAACTTTAAAAACTACAAGAGCTACATAACTAATTTGCAAATATTAAAAAAATTAATCCAATTAGTTATTTGTGATAAATAAATATTGTCTTCATAAAATATCCTTATTGATCAAGTGTATTTGAATTACTTTTTGATGATATAGCAGCTTCATATTACTTGAGGAAAAAAATAAATAAATATTGAAAACAAAATGGATTAGAATCTCATATTTAAAATCAAATTGAATCTTCAACTAAATCAAATAGTTTTCTTTAGAAAAAATCATTTTGTAAGTATCTATAATTTTTCTTAATTTTTCATTTGGTACCTTTGTACTTTTCTCTTCTAATTAAATACATTAATTTTGTTCTGGGAGCATAGCCAATTTATGATATTTTGTTTGCTGTTATAAAAACCTGTATTCCCGGAGTAATTTTTTTTACTGTTAAAACCTGTATTCAAGGAGTATATCTTGCTGGTATAAAAACTTCTTTTCATCTACCATAATTTTATTGTTGTTAGGATATTCATATTTGGGTTGCTGATTTCCCATCACTTGAAGCAATATATGTCAATGCAAACAATACTTGAGGTACTGATTGAAAAAAAATATAAAAAGAGACATTGTGGAAAAACCTATAACCTTTTATCCATTTCAAAACTACTTTTACAAATATTGCATTACATATACATAATTTAGCTCTCACATATTAAATGATACAATACTCACAAATTACATATCTTTTGCTCCATACAAGAAACTAAAATAAACATTGGGCTGTTTTTTAGGCTATTTTTTCTGGATGCACCAACACTGGACACCTTGTTAGACACTTCTTCTGAAGCTTAGGAGTACAGCTGACAGAAGATGGCAATTTCTTTGTTTCACTGGATAGAGACCATCTACATCTGCCAATTAATTTTCATCCTTGTCAACATACTTTCTTTTTTCAGGTTAGAGCAATTAATAGTAAACTTGAAAGTATATCAATAACAGCAACAATATATAGCATGCATATGTTAAACTGTGCAGTTTTTAGCAATGTCCAGAAGTCACCATTTTATAGCAGTGTTTGTTGTTAAACTTTAAGCAATGAAAATCCTTGGTTATTATTCTGATTTGACAAATCTGAGTCTACTTCCCTCGTCCAGTCCAAAACTGATTCTGAGAGACTTGCAACCCAAAAACATTAAGTTTAAAAACAAATTTTGCCAACTCATCACCGCTGCACAATTTTTTTTTCCGCATGCAAAACAAATATAATGACAAGAAAATAATACATCAATGGAGAACAAGGAGGAATAAATCTATTCCATCAAGCCATATTTTAATAAACTCAATGCCAATGTTTTATCAGCACAAAATTCTCCTTGTTTGCCCTCGGAGTTTCAACCTAGATGGTTGATAACGTTAGTTTCCTATTCCCAGTCAAGAAACAATTTTTATGCTTCCTCCACTATTAACAAATCAAGTTTCATAGCATATGCAATAAGATCTTAAATTAAAAAAAAAAAAAAGACACAATCACTTATCCATCCTAAGTTTGTTAATGTTGAGTTATGCTAGAGTTTGGAAACCCATATATTATAAAATGAAAGCTCAATGCCATAAATAAGTGTGAATGGATTGCATCACATGTTAATTTTATTGGTTTATTTTTCTGTTGTGAGATTTAGATGTCAAAGGATCAGAGGACAAAGAAAACGCCTATCAGCTTTGCAATCAATCTTTTTCCAAACAACAAAACTAACTATACCTCCTCCGTAAGGAGCATCTATAATAAGAACTACCATCTCCAATTTCAGTAACAAGCAGTGTTATTAAAAAACCAAGACAAACATTGAACTGAGAAGTCTGCAGGATCACGGTTGGACAGGTCAACTGACTGATTAAACATAACTTTTAGGTCCCATTTGTAGGAAGCATTGAAAATAAGAGGTAAGGATTGTGATTGGGGTTGAAAGATATGTCATAAGAGTACATAGAATGAAAGCTTGCATGTTACATGGGATTGGACAACCCTATGTGAGTAAGATTGAGGAATACCATCTTTTCCTATGGTATTACCCAGTCCCACATATATGGGATTGCCCCATTTAACAAGCGATCACTCTTTTAACATATTTTCTCAATCACAATCCTAATCCTCACCTCTCGTTTTCAATGCTTCGTACCAAACGGGATCTAGATTCTTTCTAAAAGCTATGCATAAAACAAATAAATCAGCACAGACCTCCCAATGAAGGTAATGGTCAGTAGCTTCATAATCAGTAGGAATAGAGACTGTATGGGCAGAAATCTGCTATACCTGAGAGCTTTAATGGTATGATCAGCTTTCAAAGATTTCAGAGGTCCAGGTATTCCGTTCCAAACAACATTGCTGGGCCTGCAGAACGCGCCAGATCATACCGTACAAGAAGGTCCATCCAGAACTGACATTGTTCAGTATATTTGTTCCATTCTTGGCAAACAATTTCCCAACCCATTTCTTGAATCAAGTGAGGCATTCATATTATATTGTCGTTTGAAACGAATATAAGAGCTTTATTTAGAAGTTCTTTTATTCCCCTAGTACCAAAAATGCCATTGGCATCATTAAGACTCATGATTTGATCTTTACGTTTTCGTCCAAAAAAGTAAGTGATGCCAAGAAATATCTGCCTTTGTACACCCTCTAATCCATCATAACTCATTTTCAACATATCTCGAATTCAAGGAGGGGCATGCTTCTCAAGTTTTCTCAATGTATTTTCCCATGCTTCTATGTCTCTGGAACAAAGACACAAACCCAGAACTTTCAAAGCTAGAGGAAGGCCCTTGGCATAAGCAACTAGTCTTTTTGAAAGTTCTTCATATTCCCTTTCAGGATAGCTCTTTTTGAAGGCATTTAAGCTGAAAAGCTCGAGGGATTCTTCAAAGTGCAATTCCTTGGCCTCACACATGTCATGAAGTAGTCTCCCTGCAGCAGCTAGGTCTTGCTTCTTTTTGCTTGTTACAATGACTCCACTACCAGGTCCCCCACAAATTCCCTTTGTAACCAGATGCTTTAATTGTTCTCGAGTACCCACATCATCAAGCACCACAAAAAATCTTCTTTTACTAATAGGCATTTCTTGAACAGGAATGGATTTTTCCTCCCGCAGTTTAGAAATAAGTTTGTCACTTAAATATTTCAGCCCATGCTTTTCGGATTCTCCTCTGACATTGTGTAAAAAGCAACCGCCTTCATAGTGGGAAGAGAATCTGTCATATGCATCTTGGGCAATGGTTGTTTTACCTATGCCACTTATCCCACCAATTCCAAGGATTTGAACTTCTTTTGACTCCATTTTCAAAAATGATCTAATACGTGCAACATGTTGATCAATTCCAACAGGGCCTTTTCTTTTTTTTTCTTGGCCAATCCAACAAGGCCTTTTGATTCACTAGGACAAGGATGGATAACCTTCAATCTTAACGAAACATCTTCGACGATTTTATCAATGAGCTTAGAGTCATTACTACATCAAAGGAGGAAAAAAGAAGTATCAGAACGAGAAGATGGAATAAATTGACTGATCAACAAGTGTTACAATTATATGCTTAATACAATTCAGTGACTCCTAATCCGAACCATTTGTGGACTTAATAGTTCATACTTAAGGTAAAATGATGTCACAAGGTAAAATGACGTCACATTTTTAATCTTCATTCATGATATCAATGGTACTGCAATCAGCACCGTTGCATTAAATTTTAATGTAACCTCCAGCAAATTTTTTACCCTTTCATGGACAACCTGTTGGAACTTTTAGGATTCAGAAGGAAACTGTTGCAATATCATTAGAAAATAACCAGCTAAACATTCTGATGTAAAACATGCTTAGTTTCTACGAAACAAAGACAAATGTTTTTTCAAGGTCGAGATTAGTAAGCCTCCCACACACACACACACGGATATATCAAATGTTAGAAATTAATGTTTAACAAATAATGTAGTTTTCGAAACCTGTTTACTTGAAATGGGATGAAACATAGCCAGCTAGGCCAGCAGCATTCTTCAAGGCTGATTTCTAATTTTGCACCTTCAAGTCGTTTCCTTTAAACTTCAATTCATGACGAGCACATGCCTCTTCATAAGCGCCTCTTTGATGCCGCACACTTGAGGGATCTATGTCGTAGAAAACGGGTAAAACAATCTGTTTGTTCACATTCTTGCACTCGATTATTTTTTTCAAGCTCATTCAAGCACCAAGCTGAAGAGGCATAGCTTTTTGAGAATATGACGACTGAAATTTGCGATTCTTGAATTGCTCTCAGAAGCGAAGAAGATATTACTGCTCCTCTCTTCAGGTCCTCATCTACATAGGGTTTGATTTTCTCCCGAAGTAGTTCCTTTCGCAGATGGGGCACAAAACAGCGTCTAGTGTCCTTGCGCCTGAAACTGATAAACAGATCGTGTCTTTTTTCTTCGGCCTGAACATCGTGTTTTATTTGAGAATCATGTAAAAAAGAAGGAAGAGAAGGAGAAGCAGAAGAAACCATAGGGATCCAGATCCTCTCGGCGGCCATTTTCTCCTTTTCGCTCAGAAGCTTAATATCCTACCCGTCCAGTTGATCTAACAGCCTGCAAAGAGACACCTCAAGAAGCTTTTTAGAATCGCATCTGAACCATCCATCTTGATGTAATCCTGGCCGTTCATTTAATTGCATCTTTTGCCAAATCGGTTCAGAGTTGAGAAGGCCATTTTCCGTCGAACGGTCGAAGTACACCCCCGGGGCAATGCAGACAAGAAGCTCCGTCGTCTCGTAACCCATCGTTGGAAAATGTGAGAGAATTCCCATAGCTTTGCTGAAAGTAGTTTCTTCAGGTATCTACATTACACCTTTTCCTCCATATCTTCGCTCTTCTTTTCCATCCCTCTCTTCCTCATTCTTGACGGTTGAGTAAGCAGAGATTCTTTCCAGAAAATTAGCAAGGTTATTGTATTTAAATTAGAACCTTTTGTCTGCTACTGTTAAAATCTAAGATGACCTGTGCTGCTATGGGTATAAGCTAAGCAATTGTGCTAAGATTCTTTAAAGCATAATTTTTGTTCTAATTTTCACGTTGAGTTTCTTTTTGGTTTGCATCATATGATAATTTCATGGAATTATTATATTCTTCATTTATTTCCCCCATGACAAGCAATGTTGGTTTTGTGTTGAGGAACATATATTCTAAACGAAGTTTGCAAAATTTCAATGAAGTCGATCGGTTGAATTTATTATGGCAAAGTTTAGCAAAATTGCCACTTAAGATGAGCAAAGTTGCCACTTTTAGTTTAGATGGAAAAATTATGTTGGTGAATTATCCATTTTTCTTCTATCATTTTGGTGAAAGGAGGTCTTCTAGTTTTGTTTGTATCTCTCGAAATTCATGATATTAGCAGTCCCATGATTTCTCTGTTTTTCAACAAAATCAAATGCGACAATATTCTGACCTTTTAGTTGAGTTGTTAGTTGGCGCATCATGATTTTCTCCAGTTTTCTATGTACAGTCAGTTAGAGTCAATATATTAGTGGTAGTGAATGTAATCAACAGATAACAATAGGCATCCATCCACGATTTCGTCTTGCACAAATTTTGTGCAACTTCAATACCTTCTGTTCTTATTTATGCAGCCATTTAAAGATATGATCGAAAAGACTAGGAATTGCAAACCAGTTCAGCATACTCACAAATGTTGGAGAGGAGTGAGTTTGAAGTTTTATTGCTTATTGCTTTTTTAAGTTCTTAGAGTTGCTGTGTAAATCTATTTTTAGACCATAAAGTGTTCCCCCATCAGAGCTTTTGTGATATCGCCACTGGACAAAGTTACAGAAGTATAGATAGATTGATTCCAAATAATAATGATATACACATCTCCTAAACAAATAACGAGACCAAGTTTGCTGCAAAAGCTACCTTTGGAAATGACCAATTGAACAAAACATAACTTTCTCTTCCGTATTTAATGAAATAGAATTTGATACATATTGAACTAGCTGTCATAATGAACAAAACAGAATTTGTTGTTCTATGAAAGAAGATACAAGTTGCTGTCATGTCATGCAAAATATAACTTGGTGGATTGAATGACTGACGTGTTGGAATTTGAATTGTTATCGCAGGTGGTAGCTACATTATCTCTCATGTTGACTAAATATTGTTGAGGCTATAAAAGATGGACTTTCTGGACCTTCACCTGCCAGGAATTGATTAGACGTTGTTGAAGTTGTTATGGAAGATGCACCTTCGCCTAACAAGAAGGAAGAAATTAAAGAGCAATGTAGATGTTAGTGTAGGGTCATAAAAAAGTTGTAATGCAATATGTTTGATATAACAAAGCTGTCTTGTATATATGTAGTTTGCGCTCGAGAAATGCTTCATGTAATGCTGTAAATTTGGTTTTAAGATAGTTGATTCTTCTTCTAAACAATTGTACCAAAATTTGTAGCAAGGAGTTTGAAAAATACATGTAGTCACTTTAGTTGTTGCTTTATAGGCATCTTACTGTTCTCAAATAGATTTAAACTCTGGGTTCTCATAAGCTGAACCTTTTTGTTAAATCAGGTTGTACAGTGCTATTTATCAGCAAGATAAATCTCATTCCATCTCTGCTATCATGCTTTTAATTGGACACTGTACATCTTCTCTCCATCCTCCAAAACAATCATGAAAGACATGGAAGATATTAATGAAGTGCCAAATAACTTGATTCAATAAGTATAAAAGTATCCACGGGAAACAAAATAAAGCAATGAAATAATGCTAATCCAGCCATATAACTTCAACCCATCGACTTCATTGAAATTTTGCAAACTTCGTTTAGAATATATGTTTCTCAATACAAAATCAACATTGCTTATCATGGGGGGAAATACATGAAGAATATAATAATTCCATAAAATTATCATATGATGCAAACCAAAAAGAAACTCAATGTGAAAATTAGAACAAAAATTATGCTTTAAAGAATCTTAGCACAATTGCTTAGCTTATACGCCAATAGCAGCACAGGTCATCTTAGATTTTAACAGTAGCAGACAAAAGTTTCTAATTTAAATGCTTGCTAATTTTCTGGAAAGAACCTCTGCTTACTTGGCCATTCAACAGTCAAGAATGAGGAAGAAAGGAATGGAAAAGAAGAGCGACGATATGGAGGAAGAGTTGTAATGTAGATACCTGAATAAACTACTTTCAGCAAAGCTATGGAGATTCTCTCATATTTTGGAGCTTCCTGTCTGCATTGCCCGGGGGTGGAACTTCAACAGAAAATGGCACTCTGAACTCTGAAGCGATTTGGCAGAATATGCAATTAAATGAACGGCCAGGATTATATAAAGATGGACGGTTCATTTGCGATTCTAAAAAGCTTCATGAGGCGTCTCTTTGCAGGCTGTTAGATCAACTGGACGGGTAGGATATTAAGATTCAGAGAGAAAAAGAGAAAATGGCTGCTGAGAAGATCCGGATCCGATGCAACAAAATTAAACTATCTGCAGAAGTAAACTGAAGAAAGTAAAGTCATAGATAGTTCCTAAGATTTGAACCCCCACCACTGCTAGAGACTACAGGAAGGTTCTGTATTATAACTGAATCCGTGTTTTTTATACTATTCGTTGACATGGAGTCAACTGGGACAGACCTAGCCTGTGGAATGCGGATATTATATAATCCATCATGTTTTCTTTTTTTTTAACCCAAAGAAAAATGACAAGTGTTGGGCGGTTGTTAAGTTGTCAGTGTAACGGGCAGAACTCAATTTTTTATATTAAATTGTCTTATCAAATTTTCTCTAAAAACTAAAATGTAAGAGTTATGAAGACTTTCTTGAGGAAGTTTGGCACAGAAATGTCAGGTGACCACACAGCCCACCACGTAACCAGCCTATTTATAATGTTACGAGTCCTATGTTGAAGAGTCTGGAATTTATAGGCTCAAAAAGCTCTCCTTCTTTATTCTGGGATTGAGCTATTTTTTTAGATTTACACTCTTCACATTAGTGTTTTTATTGATAATAGACCAACGGGAAAGAGCTGCTTACGAAGGGTTTGACAACGAAGAGGCTTACCAGTAGAAAGCCGAGTAAAGAGTTGTGAAGTGAAGCTGTTGGGATGTCAACGTGCATTTTGGGATTAAACTTTTTCTTTAAACTTGTACTCATCACACATAACAGAGAAATGCGTGTATGCTTAAGAGAGTGGGGTATTTTTGGGAATTAGCGAAGGATTGATTTGGTGGCGGGAAAGAAAAACTTGATTCCAGCAACGATTCCCATGATAACAATAATAATAGTAACATTGATAATGCCCAATAAACCCCAGATTCGTTGCCTTCATTGGCATATAATGGTAACAATAACGGAATAACCTTGATGCTTGTGACCTTAGCATCCACCCGCCGAAGACTCTGTTTACATATCTGTTGCTTTTCCGCCGCTGAAGGTTTTTGTTCAAATGCTAGAGAGTTACTTTTAGCAAAAGGAGGTTTTGTTTGAAATTAAGAAGAATATAAATATCGTAGTGTTATAAATCCCATCAAAACAAAAATTCCCTCTCTTGTTCTGTGATTTGTGGTGATCTTTTTTATTTATGACTTGCAAATTCAACAGTAAATACTTTTTTTCCCTCTAATCATCACAAATTTGTATTACCTTCGGTCCTTAATATAAAAAATAGTTGACTAATTTGAGTAGATTAAGAAAATTAGTTAAGTTAGTTATTTGTAATAAATATTGTTGTGTTTTTCCTAAAATAGCCTTGGTAGTCATATGTATTAGCTAGAGTTACCATTTCATAAAACATTTAATATATGTGACTACTATAAAGACTACCTTGAAGATAAAGAAATAAATATGAGAGATAAAATGGATTGTGGTTTTATATTTAGGATCAAAATAAATGTCAAACCAGCTCTTATATTAAGAATCGAAAATAATATTTTGGTACATTCAGTCAACTAATATTTGCTATATTTTTGGATCATTTAACTTCAACTCAAGAACTCTTGCTTCATTGTTAGCTTTCTTTCTTGGGACATTCTTTTAACCCGTTATACATAACTGTCATTTATAAGGAAGGAATCCTGGGTCAACATATTTGCACCTTTCTAAGGAAGGGATCTGCCCTTCGTGGGAGTCAGAGATCTTAAGAAGCATGACCAGACCTTAGGAATTTCATTTTCAAATGATTGACAATCTTGCTATTTAATGTAGGATTTAATTGTAGAGTTAGTATTTGTCTTAAATATAAAATTATTTATCATATTTATCAATTTTTCTTAAATTATCACTATTGATACTTTCTCAACTATAATAAAATAGAAAAGGGAGGAAAGATATTAAAAAATATGATTATGATATTTTGAGATCTAACTTTCTAATGGAATTTGCAGTGTCAGATCAACACAAGCCACATCGCATCCTACATGGCAGCTTACATGGCATCCCATCTAAGTTAATTTTATAAAACACCCCTGAACTTTAAACTAGTTGCACATAACCCCCCTAACATTATAATACTGGATTTTCATTACTTTTTTTTTCCTATTTAATACTCGTCAAAACCAACTCATTACTTTCATTGTAACATTTTTATAATGTTATAATTTTATTTTATGATCTTAATAAATTTATTAAGATTTTGACCCTTTTATTAATTAAAATAGGAATTTTTTTGTGGTAAAAATAAAATAAAAATGTTATTTAAAAATTTATTTTGACAAAATATAAGAATAAAAAGTGATCCTCTAATACACTATTTAAATGTTTGCATTGATTTATATCATCAATGCTCAGTTATTTTAAGAAAAATTAATAAAAATAGTTTTTCAATACTTTTTTTAATAGAAAACATTCATTGGTCTTTAGTAGGGACTTTAGTCTTCTTCATGTTAAGGATGAAGTAGAGCCTTGAGTACTAGGAGACTGGTTATCCTGCAATAAATAATAAAAGAATATTCTATTTAATTAATATAAGTGTGTGAATGTAAAGTAAATCAAATCTTATAATTAAAGAAAATTACAAGTGTCTATTCTATTTGATTTGATGCAGCGTTCTTCTTTTTCTTCTTTTTATACACTAGTAAAAAGTAAAAAATGCAAGAAATGTATTATAAGCATAATACTTTTTGCATATCTGATATCACAATCTACCCTTTATCTTTACATGAGCCAATGTCCTCAAATAGCAAAAAGAATTAATTCCAACTATCCTTTCTTAGATTCTATAATGGCATATGCTATAGGATACATGTTCTTATTTGCATCTTTTCCAACTGCAGATAGAAGGTGGCCTCTAAAGCTACCTTTCAAGAAACAACCATCTACACATATAGTTGGCCTACATGTAGTTACAAACCCTTGTTTACATGCATCGAGACACACATATAGTCGCTTAAATTGTGACCCTTGTGCCTTAATCATCATTGTACTTTCAGGGTTAAATTTCATTATTGCTCCACAGTATGCATATATTTTGGCAAATTGCTCTGCATCGCAACCTTCTAACACTTCTAATGCATTCATTTTGCTTGATATGCAAAAAATTTTGAAATTTTAACATTATAATCCCTTCGACTTGATTTGCAAATGCTGTTGCACTCCAGTTTGGTTGGTCTCTAATGTGTTCAATGTATCTATTTGACAACCAACATGCAGTCACCCATTTATTTTCTCTTTCCCATCCACAATTGTTCTCCTTTTGGTGAAATGACTTAATTTGAAATGCATCCCTAGCATGAGTCCATAATGCACGTATAACCCATCCACAATTGCGCTTGCACTTCACCCTGATTCGTCATGCTTCGTTTTTTATATACTTGAACTCAATGCCATTCTCAATGGCATATTGCTTTAATGCTTGCCTGTAAACTTTGAAGTATGCAAACTTCATGCCAACTTAAAGATTGATAGGTCTTTTAAAATCTGTCTTTTCAACTCACTAGCTATATGACTATCCTTTATTTGCAGACCTTCATTATCTGATTCATTATCTAATCCAATTGGACTTGCTAACTCTTCACTATCATCATAATCAAATTGCACTTGTCCATCCCAATCAAATTCACTTTGTGCCTCTTCATTCCTCATATCTCTACTCTTTGATCCTTCAAGTGGGTTATCACGCAACCATTAATTAACTTTTACTACTATCCCTTCATCAAGATTTTCGAAAAATAAATCTTAAGTGCTCAATATCGTTATCAAAAAATTGGCACCCATTCAAATCAACTTGGGTGTTTAACTCCTCTTCAACTCTTTGTTCCTCCTCACATATTGAATTCTCTTCTCTGTTAGCCATATTCTTTTTCACTGTTGTCGCAATAACCTAACATTGAAAGAAAATTTCATATCAAATAAAGATGAAAAAGTTAAGTTAATATTATTAAAAAGATAATTTTATAATTAATTTATTCTTCATACTTTGAATAAAAAAGTTATTTTTCAGTTTTACTTGTATGAAGTTATCCTTCAATTTTGCCGCTATCAAATAAAGATGA